CGCGCCCAGGGCGCAGAGCGCAGCCCGGCTCCGGCACCCCCTGCCCTGCCCAGCCCAGCCCGGAGCCCAGCCGCGGGGCTGCGCTGGCGCCTCACCTGCCTCCGAGACGATCCGGATCCAGAGGCAGAGGGAGAAAGTGCAAACTCTCTTCATTTCCAGCGCTCCGTGCCGGGGAGGGGGCGTCGGGAAAAGGCCGGGGCTGGAGGCGAGGCGGAGCAGGGTCCCCTCTCCCCGGGCCCGGGCAGGTCCGCGCTGGCTTCAGGCGCAGAGCCCCGCTGAGCTGTGCAGCCGCCGGCTCGCAGCGCGCTGGAGACGCTGGCCCCGTGCGCAGGGGAGGATCGGGCCCCGCTTCCTTTTCCTCCCTCCGCTCCGGCCAGCGAGCCCCGCGCACTCCCGCTGCACCGCGCTCTGCCAGGAGCCGGCGGCGTGTGCAGGGCGGGGGTGATGGGCAGAGGGGAGGGGAGGAGCAGGGTGTGGGTGTTGGGGAGAGGGGACCATAGGGGGCGGGGAGGGGCAGGGCAGAGGGGCTCTTAGGAGGAGACGGGCCGGGAAGGATGGGGTGACAGACAGAGGGGGAGCTGAGGAGGGTGATGGAGGAGGGGCAGGATGGGGTGTTGGGCAGAAAGGACGGGAGTCGGGGGAGGGAAGGAGGAGGAAGGACTCACTGATTGTTTTCAATTGTTTGTATCCTTTCCTCCCGGGCTGGCCCGAGAGGGACTGATGGGTGTTAGTGTCTGTGCTGTCTGATACCCGCTGGGGGCTGCAGCCAGGGGGCATTTCACCTGGGAGCTGTCAGGCACACAGAGAGGCAGCCCTACCCCAATGGGCACACCTGCTCTGCCCACCTACACATCTTCACAAGCCCTCAAAAGCCCATGGCTACCTATGCCCACGAACAGGAACACAAGGATGGGTGCATGGCGAACACAAGCAACTGGGTGTGCAATGCAGGCATGTGTGTGCATATATACTATACACCCAGACACAACTGTACATGTGCACAGAGCCAGGCACACCTGTGTGCTACACCCCCCCTCCCACCCAAAGGAACACACATGCACAATCACACACACTGTCCAGAGCACTAAGCGTGTGGGAGTCCGTGAATGCAGCGCTCTCTCCATCTGCAACAGTCTCTGCCCTGGGGAGCAGGAGTGCTGATTACTGGATGCTGTTTCCCCTTGCAGCTGTTTGTTGATTTGTTTCCTTTCCTTTATTTTGCTGGCTGCATGGGGAAACCTAGAACTAATGCTTCAAAGAATTTCTAGGCCGCAGGCAGGGTACACTGGGGGAGTTACAAGCAAGTTGGTTTAGTGTGGGTGTTAGGGTGACATTGCCATCCGGCCAGTGTGTGCCACAGTTCTTTGCACAAGTTCTCTTGAACGATTCCCCTTCAGCTACAGCCAGGAGGCTCTTAAATTACAAAGGATACAAAAATACATCCAATACAGCCTCTGTGGAGAGGGAGGGATCCTCTCCTAAGGAAAGCTGCAAAATAAAATAATTAAAAAAAAATCTAAGTGAAACAGCCACAAAGAAATGTCATAAAATTAGGAACGTGTACATTTAGATCCCTTCCTAATTACAGCTAAGCCTTAGAAGTCTGGACACCAGTCCTCTTTTTTTTAGTTAAAAAAAAAGTCCCAGGCCTACTGTAGAGATTTATCAATTATACTCTTTTGCAGACATTATAAGAGATTTGGAATGAGAAACATGTGCTCCAAGTTTCAAAATGGCATGGAATTCTATTGTGTGTTTAATTGCCTCCCCGAACCTGTGGAAAAAATGCACCACACCCTTTTTCCAAAGCCATCAAAAGAAATCTAAGCAACGATAGGTAGAAATCACCCCCCTCCCCACACACACACCGAATCAGTCAGTTTTGGAGATTTGAATCCCTAAAATGCATGCACACAATTATGCAGCAACTCTGCAAATCTCTGCAGTAGTCTCTTCTGGAACAGTTAGATGGATCATCACTGTATAGTTCTACCACACTAAGGCTTAAGAACTCCCAGTGAAGGAACTGGGTCTACTGTGGAAGGTGCATTACATGTAAGTAACCAAGTAGACAGCCCCCAGGCTGTATAGACAATGGGGATTGGCGAGACGGAGACAGAACTGAGAAATGTTTCCTTAAGGCTTCTGTGCCCGCTACACATATATTTAAAGTTCTTAGTGGAATCTGTGCTGATGAAAGCTACAGATCCTGAGCCCACCTGTATCTCTTGATGGATTAGAAGCAGAGTGAGCAGCTGTCCACATTTCTCCTCTCTGCTCAGCTAACATGCTTCAGCCCTAATGAGGAGGGACCATCTCAAATGGGGAGTCTGGGCTCACCCCCTACTGCAACTGCCAATAAGGGAGCCTGCTGGGGGTGGTGGTGTTGGGGGTAGGGTTTGATGATGTGGGAACTGGACAGAGCGAGGACATGTCGGCTGTCACTAGCCTGCATGAAGATTGAAGCAAAATGCAGGACAATGTAGCACTTTAAAGACTAACAAGATGGTTTATTAGATGATGAGCTTTCGTGCTCATCATCTAATAAACCATCTTGTTAGTCTTTAAAGTGCTACATTGTCCTGCATTTTGCTTCAACTACCCCAGACTAACACGGCTACATTTCTATCACTAATAGTGGAGATGTTTGCAACAAAGGGAGACAGTTTACATAGAAGATTGTTTTCCTGAGTGTCTGGGATGCTTCTTGCCGATATAGAACATTTGACAGTTTGAGTGCTGGCCTTCCATTCTTTGGAAGGCTATGAGAGGAAAAAAGTGCTTTTAACTCACGGCTCCAGAAGACACCACCAGTGCGGAAAGTTTTTGTGAACACCTGTTTTAATGAAGCGAAGCAAAGACAGACAGCTGGGCATGGAGCAAGTGACAAAGAGGCAGCAAGCTTCAGAGAGTGACCCATGAAAAATCTCATGGCTTTGGCAGTCCCTGGAGGAAATTCAGCACCGCTCTTTTGAGGGACTGGCTCTGGAACTGATAAGACAGGGCAGGAAGTCCTAGAATCCTAGAACTGGAATGGATCTTGAGAGGTCATCAAGTCCAGTCCCCTGCCCTCACAGCCGGAACAAGCACCATCTAGAGCATCCCTGGTAGATTTTTATTGAACCTGCTCTTAAATATCTCCAATGATGGAGATTCCACAACCTCCCTAGGCAATTTATGATGAACCATGACTTCTGTTTCACCCATTCACTGCTCCCCTGAGGCAGTCAGACGGAGGGGTAGCTAACACAGAACTCAATCAACAATCACAGGTGGGGAAGGGTGTGTTTGTCACTAGAGCAATAACATCATGACACAGCTTACCAAACAGCCTGTAACTGGTCACATGGGCACATCTCACACTGTGCCCCAAAGGGGTCTGCCACCCAGCCTTTACCACACTGCCATCTAATGGTAGGAAATGAGGCAAAATTTCCATCACAAATACAGGGTTACCATGCGATCCGCTGGGCCTTTCTATTGTTGTCTTTTAGGGAAACAAAAGGATCTTATTTTAAAATCTTATACTTCCCACACCAACGCCCCTCTCCCACATGAAGTAATCACACTTATACTCTGCTAAAGTACGCAATGAGATGGGAGACTTGGGGGCACCTCCCTTTTTCTCATGGTCCGGTTCCTGTAGAATCAATACCTAGACTCCCATCCAGCACATTTACCAATAGGCAGAGGTGAAATTAAGGGGGTGCACGCTGGTGTGCAGCTCTGGTAAGAACTGGCTAAGCTGTGGCAAAAGCCAGCAGGGAGCTATTAAAGAGCTGGCAGAGACTGGGGTTGTGATAAGACAGTACAGCTGCGTCTAGATTGGCATGATTTTCCACAAATGCTTTTAACGGAAAAGTTTTTCCGTTAAAAGCATTTGCGGAAAAGAGCATCTAGATTGGCATGGATGCTTTTGCGCAAAAGCACTTTTTGTGGAAAAGCGTCCGTGCCAATCTAGACGTGGTTTTGCGCAAGAAAGCCCTGATCGCCATTTTCGCCATCGGGGTTTTTGTGCAAAAGTTTTAGCTGTCTACACTGGCCCTCTTGTGCAAATACATTTGTGCAAGAGGGCTTTTTCTCGAACGGGAGCAGCATAGTATTTGCACAAGAACACTGGCAATCTTACATTAGATCGTCAGTGTTCTCGAGCAAATTCAAGCGGCCAGTGTAGACAGCTGGCAAGTTTTTCTGCAAAAGTGGCTGCTTTTGTGGAAAAACTTGCCAGTCTAGATGCAGCCTACTTGTAAGAAATTTAAAAGTCTCAGCGGGGTAGCTGTGTTAATCTATAACTTTAAAAACAAGCAGTCGTGTGGCACCTTAGGACACATCGACACAGCAGGGCAAAAGTTGAATTAAGCTACACAACTTCAGCTACGTCAATTGTGCAGCTGAAGTCGAAATAGCTTAATTTGGCTTTTGGCACTGTCTACACAGCAGGAAGTCGAAGGAAGAGCACTCTTCCTTCGACTTTCCTTACTCCTCATGAAATGAGGGTTACAGGAATCGGAGTAAGAAGTCCTCCAGCTCAACATTATTTCGAAATAATGGCTTGCTGTGTAGATGCACACTTTGTTATTTTGAAATAACATCGGTGATTCCGAAATAACGCTGCTGCGTAGACACAGTCTTAGAGACTAACAAAAAGATAGAGTATCATGAGCTTTTCTGGGCAAAACCCAGTTCTTCGGTGGGTTTTGCCCACGAAAGCTCATGATACTTCATATCTTTTTGTTAGCCTCTAAGGTGCCACAGCACTACTCGTTGGTAGGAAGTTTAAGTTACTTTCACTCATGCCAATAGCCTTGATTCACCTGACATGGAGTAGGTGGTAGGTTGCACTTCCTCTCAGCTGGTGTGTAGGGCCACACAGATAGCAGTCTTGAGAAAAGAAAGTCCTCTGAAGAAAGACAATGGATGTGGCTTTGCAGATAGACAAGCCCCAGAGAACTGCTGGGGTTGTATGCAGCAAAAGAGATGGATGCTTCCCCGCTACAGTACCAGCAGATTGAGAAGTGTTCTGTTCGTTAGCACACGAGGTGTAGTGACATGAAAAATATGGTTCATAAACATTTCTCGGTCACGTGGGGGCCCCTGTGTGCTGCGGGTTTCTGTAGCAGCAGGGCGCTCGGAATGCCAAACAGCTGTGGAACAGAAACTTGACCTACTCATGAAAGATGCTTAATCCCTAAGTGGCCCTAATTAAATAGAAGTTTAAATAACGTGCAGAGTAAACTAAGACCTGCAGCCTATGTGAAATGAGACCTTGACAAAGATCCACCAGCTGGTTTGATCACAGGCGGGCAGTAAAGGTAGGGCAAGCCCCAAGCTCCAATCCTTCTGCTGAGGCAACCCCTGCCCCCACCACAGAGAGGGCAGGGGAGGAGGACAGGCAGGCATGACCCCAGCCTCAGAGCATGGGGAAGGCAGGTGGC